CATATATACTTTGGACATATATTAATAGAATATTAAAAAAAAAATGATATAATAAATGTAAAAATATTTCCTATTTTAAGGTTAACTAACAATAATCCATTTTCCCATTTTTAATGCCTATATGAAACTTTTATAAATCAATCTTTAGGAATTTAAAAATGGTAATTTTATCTTAAAATATTAGTTCTAAACATATTTAAAGCATTTATTTTCAAATTATTAAGTGAAAAAAAATTTCGGTTTTATGTCGATGGTTACACAAATTACGATTTGAAGAAATTTAAAGTTTATTGGTGAAAGTTTGACTTTTTTAAGAATTATTTTTGATACTTTAATAAAATAAAGCAAATGTCAAAGTTTTTTCATTAAAAATTTCAATTTATTCGATTAAAAATTGGTGGATATTCCTATATTGGAAATGCAGATTTAAGGGTGGTCCGATTGGTACATGGATTACGAATTAACAATTATTATTTCACTATTTATTTTTTTTTAAAAAATTTTGTTATCATTTTTTTTATACTTTAATTTTTTATCCAAATAATAATATGATAACTGCTTAAAAAAAAAAAAAAACTTTAATATTGTATTTAACTATTAAATAATACTAATATATTAATTTTGAATTATTAAGAGATTCTTTATAATAATATTATTTTACTATAATTATTCTCTATTAAATAACTATACTTTATAATTTCTTTTTATATAAGTATAAAAATATTTGATAATTGCTTATTATTGTTTTTTTTAAAATTTTGTTATCACTTTTATTTTTATACTTTAATTTCTTGTGTTTTTTTTTTGATTTCTATTCAAATGATAATATGACAACTGGAATTTACCATCGCCTTTTTTTTTACTTCTATTAATGACTAATTGCACTTCTGACATATGATATTCAGGTGGTATCAACATCTTGATGGCCGTTTGAAAAGAACTTTCATTGTAAGTCATAAATGACCTAAATTCTTTGGTTCTATGGTATTTTATAATTCCCAAAATTAATGAAAACAAAAAAAATTTAAAAAATTTTATTTTACTAATAGAAAGTAAAAATTTTTCTTTAATACTATATTTAACTATTAAATACTAATACTACCATTATTTATTTATTTTGTTTAGAATTTGTTATCATTTTTTTTTATACTTTAGTTTTTTGTTTTTTTATTTTCTATCCAAATGATAATATAGTAATTGTTTGGTAAAGAGTCATTAGTAGAAAAAAAGAACAAGTTTTTTTCTTTTTTTCAGCTTTACTTTTATTATTTTTTTTTACAAACCATTAAAAAAAATTTACCAGTACATCTTATTATTAACATTGTCTGTGATAAAATCCAAAAACTTTTGAAAAAACATTTCAAAAGGAATTTTATGTCACTCTGATTTGAGAGAATTCCATTTGTTTTGGCATTGCTTTTTGGTGGGCATGAAGTTGAGATGTGCAATCCTTATTTCACAGGCAATTAAGCATCATATTTCTCTTTGACTATGAATTGGAGTTGTGCAAAATAAGGACTTGGTTATAGTTGGAAAATAAATAATGTATTTATAATTTTGTAACTTCTATTGCTCAATTAAAGCAGTGACCATTCTAATCAGTCAGAAGTATCAGTATAGGTACCAGTAATGGAAACCATTTGTAAAACATCTTGAAAATTTTGTAAAATTTTATATTAAAAAAAGGTTTACTAGTTTAAATCTTTTAGATCTTTTATGATCAAAAATAAATTTATAAAATAAAGATTTTTTTATGAATCTTATACCAAATATCATTGTATTTTAAAGTTAATAGTCAGTATACTGGGTTTATTTTTAATTTATTTAGACTTTTTGAGTTTTTCTTATTTTTCTTTGTATTTTAAATATTTAAAAATATTTAAAATGTAAAAATTTTATGTTAAAGTAAAATCGGATCCCATTTTTCTTTGTGTGAAAAAATATTTAAAATGTATAAACTTTATGTTAAAGTAAAAAATCAAAATTCAAATAAGGAAAAAAATTAATTAAATATAAGTTTATAAAATCCTTTGTAATATAAATAAGGTAAATTCATTTATTTACCTGTTTGAAGTGCAATGATCAGTCGTGAAAATGGGGACGATCTCCATCAATATCTATTGTAAAGACATGATCTTACCATCATTAGAATTGTCTTAATGAGACGAATCGAATGATGTAAATTTCATTAAATTCTGATCACTAGATCTCTAATAATTTGCGATTTTGTATTTCGTGTAAACTCTGATCTGAAACAATATATTTATAGTAAAATTTTATACAAGTCTAAGTAAGTCTAGGGTAAAATTCAATAAAAGTTACCTCACTTTAAGTAATACATAATTTTGGACATGTATTCATATAAAATAACAGTATAAATTTACGGAATTCACGGGGTAATTTGGTTCCGGAACAAGTGGTATAATATAATTCCATACGCGCGTTATGGCGCAGCATTAATTTTACACAATAAAAAAACTTATTAAATTTATTTAAATTTATTAATTTACATAATTTATTATAATATTAATAATATTATTACGATTCCAAAACCATACCGTACATACTACATATCAGATATATTCCATATTTAATCATACAGTATAATCATACTGTATATAACTATATATATAATATAACAGATAATACAATATAAAACCACAACAATTGTTCACACTTTTTAATCAAACGAAAAAAAAATTATATAAACTATATGAACCAATTAATTTAAGATTTATAAATCATAAGAACAATGAATTTACATAATTTTTTTAATTTAAAAAAAAAAAAAAAAATTTTATAAATGACATCAATACATTTAAATGACAATACATCTTTTTGCGCACGGATGTTTTTTTAATTTATTATTACACATTTACACTGTACATAACATGACATGGCATGAAAAATCCATCCTTTTTTTTTATTTTTCTCCCGCGTTATTTACTTTTTTCAATTTTTCAATTTCCCCCACATTTATTTTCGCTTTATTTAGTTTTTTCTTTACGTCCAAAAATAAATAAATAAATAATAAAAAAATGAAAAAAAGAATAAAAATAACAAAAAAAAATAAAAATAAAAATAAAAACTAATAAAAACTAATAAATAAAATAAATAAATAAATAAATAAATTTATAAATAAAAAAAAATAAACATTTAATATCATTTAATATCATTTATATCATTTATATCATTTATATCATTTTATATCATTTAATATGTTAACTCCTTATATAATAAAAAATCACGGGATAATTTTCCATCAAGAAAAAAAAAAGGGAAGTTTGGACGATTGTAATCTAATAAAGGAAATTCGCAATGGTATCCCCTTAATATTTAAAAAAAAAGTGTTTTTTTTTCTAAACGTGCAAGTAACACGATATATTTAAAGCGTGGGTAAATCAATTCTTTCACTCATC